CAGTAACGCTACTGTACAGGCAGGTACTAATTAGATTTAGCATTTGTTTATGATTAAATCGTAGTTATGTCGGATTAGTACGTACTAATCGCTTTCCAGCTCTGCCATTTAGTTTATCGATGAAAGTTAAGTTTAAAAGAGTAGGCCTATTTATATCGATATCGTTATCAACTTGTCATGCTGCACGAAGGAATATTTTAAAAGAAAACACAACTATAGCCCTGAGCATAGAGCAAAGAAGCGAGGCCGATATGATATTTCGAGCTCAGAATATACAAATATAGCGCCTATAAGAAATATTTATTTAAAAGTGCAACTTTATGAAACGTGAAACTATTCTCAAAATAGGTGTACGTCGGAAGCAACATCCAGCCGTAAATCGGATTACAAACGTTTGGGGTATCTGGAAAGTTGATGATCAGTTCAGGCTGGAATGTTAAAATTTAAGAGTATATTAATAAATTATTGTCTGAATGAAATTCTGAGAACAGACTGCTTTCAAAATTCTGAACTCACGGTTTATTCAAGATTATCCAAGACACTATGTTTATATTTAGGCCTATCACATCCAACGGTATATTCATTCGCAAATAAAAAGAGGACATGACAGAGAAGTGTGAACAGATGCTCTTGTTCCGATTACGTCCAATGTCATATCATGCCTCGATAAGTATACAAACATTTATCAAAAAGATCAACAGTTAAACAAAATTGGCATTTAAAGAGAAAAAACGTGTTTACATTTAAAATTAAATTATTAATATTATATTTTCACTTCATTTTAATAAAAGAAAAATATAGAAATCTCTGAATAATGGGTAAAAAAAGACGTAATTAACCTAATACATATTTAACAGTACCGGTACAGTAATGGCATTCAGTAGGCCTATTACTATGGCATTAATATAATATTTACAATACATACATTCCATTGAGGATTCTCATTTGATTAACTAAAATAATGTTGATAGTAATTGTTATTGTCGTAATGGAATAATAGGCAATAACTGGATTTGCGTCAGGAGAAACATGTATAGGTGTATTTTTTGCCCTACCTGACGTGGAAATGTACCGAATACTCAGTACATTTGAAAACAACTGCGAAAAAAATCGCAAATTGTTCTCGGGTGGGACTCTAACCCACGATCTCCAGATCACTAGCCTGGCATCATACCTCGAGACCACCGAGCTTGCGCCTGTTGGTTTAGCTTGAATATCAACAATGCAATGTTCATCAACTTGTCCGTGGTCCACAATGCATGTTAGCTTCTATTGGTGAACTGTTCCAGGTTGTATTTCGCTATAGCAGGTCTGAGTACATCATAGCTTCTAACACAACGAATTCCAATACTCCTTTGAATTAGCGGATTATCAATTCGTACAACGCAACATGTCATCCAGATATAACGGAGTAATAACCACGGGCACGAGGCCACCTATAGTAAAGTAGTACTCAACATTTTACAATAATAATATTAATTACACTAGTAAATCCTAAGATATTACAAACTGTCGTTAATAATCATTGTCTATCCACAATATCTACCTTACTTTTCATTAGTTATCGGCTTGTCAAACGACGGTCGTAGACGAAGTAGGCCCTACATTATACTGATCTTAATATTCAAACGCTTAAGCCATGATTGATTTTCAATACAATATTGCAAAACTATTAGTGATGTATTTACATTTAAACTTGCGTGAACAGCATGAAAAACAGATGTTACTTTCAATATGTAATTATCAAACATTCAAATGAATTAACTTTTATCGTAACCAAGAAATAACACCCAATTGGGATCACATTATTATTCGGCTGAAAATCTGATTGGGTATACATACATAAGGATTATACTTATTTCGATAACATGAATATTCCATTTAAATGTCGATAGAGACACCATCCTAATGGAACACGATTTGTATGCCTAAGTCAGTTTTCAACCAAAGTAAGTATTTTTCTTTTCTTTCTATGACCATTAAATATTGAGAAAAAGCGAGGATTTACTAGCTACTAAAACAGCAACAGCTGCATTGTAGGCCTGTTGAAAAAACTGATAGATTTTTCTGTATGGTAGGCATCCCAACTTCTATTTGTTAATAATTGCATACTAGAATAGGAGGGGAAATAGGTATAATTAGCATTAAAGATAGATTGTCCCATGCAAAGTACCCTAAAACTATAAAAAAAAACATTTTAAAATTAACTTGCTCATCTTGAAGTAACAACAAGCTTATCAACTTAAACGTAGAAATTAATGTATTTAAAAGGTGTGTTCACCAATAATTTTACAGTGAAAATGATAAAAGTACTTCTAGTCACTGAAGATATATATTATCGTTATTACCCTTTTCCTTTATACAAATCAAAGTACACATTATATAATTTTAATAATTTGTAGTATATACATACAAAGGCCAACATATATACTTACATACACACAAACTTTGTAAATGTAAGCAGATTAAAAACATTGTTATAATAGTTTTTTTTTTTAAGGAAGAGTAACAAATAATCATTATTTAATTTTCAATTTTGCAGTCAATACAATTTCTCAGTACGTTAATACACAACATTTTGTACTTAAATTAAAATATTTTTTACGACTAATTTCATTCTTGGATTTATTTTCTTTTTAAGGCAAATTTTAAACAAAATAACACACAAAAAGAAGAATTAGCACTTTCAATCACCACTTATCAATATTGCTTTAATTTATGTATTTTTCTTGTTTTACTTTTCTATTGATCATTTATTTTATATATTGTGCGGTTACCATTTTATTCTTTTTTTATTCACCTTCATTAATGGCATACAGTAACAGTAATGAACAAGACAGCATAGCAATGCAAATGAGTAAAGGAATAATGAATTGGGTACAGATATTGGCAGTTATCGTTTTTGCGCATTCTTTATAATAAATATATAACCTTCTTGACATCTTTCCATTTTACTTCAGTTTTTTTCGCCTGTAGTATAAATTTCACAGTCAATTATGTTTTTTAGTGCATAAATAAAAGGTTTCCAGTAATTTACACTCGCAGGTATATTTAGTTCGGATTTTTTTTTTTTTTTTTTTTTTGTGTGTATTTTTTTTTTTGTGTGTGTATATCGTAAACATGGCTCCATGTATACAATTATCAACGCTTAGCACAATGTCTTTAAAGGCCTATCTCAATGTGGTATTATAATGGTAAGTGGTAAATATCATATTAATAATTTTATAAACATTTTTCCATAACAGTATTGTATAGCAGTCAAGGAAAATATGTTTTTCATCCTCTAGTTTATCGACAAGTCAGTATTGTTTAGCTTCCAACTAAAACGTCTTTTATTAGTTGAGATAATTCTGTGAAGAAATTTGAAATTAAATCGAGCATACTTAAAATTGTTTATTCTTTTTACTTTTCTTAACCAAACCAAATTCCAATCAATTAAACAATCATGAGCTCAAGTTCCCATTTTGATTGTGAAATTGGAGGAATAAAGACAAAGTTTACAAACAATTATATATTATTTTTGATTTAGCCCTTAAAACATGCTGATGCAAACACTTATTTAAGGCATGTCTCATTGAAATGTGAATAATTATTTATAATTGCCATCCATTATTTGGGAATAGCTTCAAGTAGAGATGTATATTCACCTTTATTTACCAACTTTTCTAGTATTTCTTTCCCTGTCAATAGTCTATTTTCAACAACCAATATCTTTAATTTTAACGATCCTCTGATTTATACCATTTTAGTAAAGACGAGATTTTGCATTTATATTGATGTATATGTTACCCCATATTTGTTTAACAATCTGGTTGTTGTTATTTACTTGATTATTATTGATATTGTTATTTTATTCAATAATCGCTTCAATATCTTAAACTAAAATGGGGATATTTTTGTATTTATTGATGTGTGTAACACATTAATGTTAGTCATATCAAATAACAATTGCTCTGATGTAATCTTATTTATGTAATATCGTGGGATAATTTTCTATCTGGCATAATCTGCTTTCATAAGTTTTTTTATCTAAATTGTTATGAAAGCTTTCCAATGCACGTTAAATTCAGGTAAGTTTTAACGTGCTCCACTCATTGTTTTCCGTTAATTTTTTTTTCATTCTTTCCGTTCCAATGAAATCCATTTGGAATTTCAATAATTAAAGCATTATAAATGAGTTTTGAGAGTGCCAAATTCTTTACAATTGAGACTTTCCCCATTAACGACAAATTTCTACATTTCCAGGCTTTGAAGACTTTTCAAAAATGAGCAACTTCATCCGTAATTGTTTTTTTATAATTTTATGTAATCTTCTTGGAGTTATAGAGGAACTGCTTCTTCGGTTTATAATTTCCAACAGCGCCCCAAAAACTTGAACGTTGCCTAATTCATTCAAGTTTACTTAGCTCAAAATAGACAGTAAATCCTTACGAAATATAAATATTGGCTTACAGGTTGAAAATACGGAACGAATATGGCGGAAGGAATCTCGCTAAAGGGAATTGATAATTATGGAAATACAATTGACATATGTGGCACAAATAGAAACAAGGTATGTGTCTTTTTTTATAATAATAATAATACTAATAATACTAATAATAATAATAATAATAATAATAATAATAATAATAATAATAATCATTATTATTATTATTATTATTATTCATTATTATTATTACGTTATTATGATTATATTTTTAATAGCCGATGAATATAATATCAAAAGACATACTTTTTCATTTCATTTAATTCATTTGTCTTTATATAACAATATTCATAAATATTCAAAACACCACTACTGTAATATCCATAAACATAATGTGCATACAGAAACAATTGGATTCGAACACGAGACAAGGACACACTAAAGATGAACTTAATCGCTGTCTTATACACAGGCAATAAAGACAGAAACAAACATAACTTTTAAAGAAACGAGATATTCATTTGAATTTGTTAATTTAAACGTAAGCCTCATTAACAAAGTTAGCCGTTCCCAAAGAAATAGAAAAAGGTCATTTAAGACATGCATTTATTAACAAACCGAACAAAGAACTAACAAACATTGAAAACCATTGATGAAATTAATGTTTTCTTATCAAAGAAAAAAGTTTAATTCTTAAATTCTACTTTTATCTAGCAAGATACTAAATTGGGTACAAGTTCTGTGTATACAGGTGGTATCGCTGCACCGAGTAACAACGAACTGAAGGCTACACCGACATCTGAGACTGGTCGGCATTTTAAACGTAATAAATACGCATATCTGGTCGTCATATTTGCCGTTTCAATTTTCATAGCTTCTATTGTATGCGCATGTATAGTTCTTTTTGTAGGTAGGTCTGTTTTGCGTTTCATTCTGCTCGTATTACTAAGACACAGCTTGATATAAGTATGGCTCTTCGATCAACTTTCTTAAGATTTATATTGAGACCTTTTGATTGACCTGTACAGTTCAAGATATAAACTAGACTTACTATGTCTCTTTCTACAACAGAACATAGTTCTTTTTTTCATTGCTATGAATCAGAAATGAAGTAGAAATTGACACAAAAAAATAGTTAAAAAGTGTAAAGTAAAAAAAAAAAAAACCACGGAAACCTAAAATACTTATAGTACTAATGAAATTATGAATAAAATAAAACAAAACAATGAAAACCTGCAATTGTAATAGTAAGGTACATCGAGGTCAACCATCGCGCACTATGAGTCAACCTTGTATAAACCAGTGCATTTTCCGTCTGAAAGCAAAAGATTTTTCAGGCATATTACGGTAGTTTTGAATTTAACCTACCTGCAGCTGGTTGAAATTTGAAAATTTGAAATTTGAAAATTTGAAATTTGAAAATTTGAAATTTGAAAATTTGAAATTTGAAAATTTGAAATTTAAAAATTTGAAATTCGAAAATTTGAAATTTGAAAATTTGAAATTTGAAATTTGAAAATTTGAAATTTGAAAATTTGAAATTTGAAAATTTGAAATTTGAAATTTAGAAAATTTGAAATTTGAAAATTTGAAATTTGAAAATTTGAAATTTGAAAATTTGAAATTTGAAAATTTGAAAATTTGAAAATTTGAAATTAGAAAATTTCAAATTTGAAAATTTGAAATTTGAAAATTTCGTATTTGAAAATTATGAAATTAGATACAATTAAAGTGTACTATTATGTAAATAAGTGATGATGGTTTAAACATAAGTCTCTTAAAAAAAAATCAAACATAATTTAGAAATTCGTATTGTAACAGATTGAGGATATATATATATAATACACATACTTTAAATAGTATAAGAAATATATTTATAATTATTTCATTAAAAAATGATTATTGCTTTTGAAAATTGATTTTTCTTCTTTCAATCAATATCCATAACAATTTTAAAAAGCTACAAATCATTTGAAACAACGGGAAATAGTACTTATATTAATGAAAAATAAAAAGAATAGCAATAGTAAGATATTGTTAAAAATATAGAAAGTTTGAATATGTCTTATTCACTTTAAATGTTTAATCCAGGCGATAACCTAAGCACTCAACCAGTTTGAAAAACATGCTAATAATAGCTTAGTGGTTAAGAAGCACGCCTTCGCCAGGACAGACTTGATTGTGTCAGAAAAGGCAATAAAAGTAAAAATCAGCTCCACTCTAAAACCGAGAACACGTCGTCAAACGATCACAGAAAGCGGACATGTATTTGTCGTACGAACGTCCTATGACGTAGTGTGCCTTGATTCACGCGTGGTGTATAATACTGCAGCGTCTGCCAGCCCCTACACATTTCAGACGCAACGTTAAGACTTGCACTCACTAATACGACGTACGACGCACAGTGGGCCAGACTGAAGTCAAAGTGTGCCAAAATTAATTACTCATTACAGAACCTAATCTAAGCGAATATAAAGATCTATGTAGAGGTTTTCATACCCGTAGAATTCAATAAAAGCATTTTCAAATCCATATGACGTCATTTTTGTGTTGTTTTCTGATTGGACGATATCAGTTTTTATTGTAACACCAAAACAAGTTCATATTGCAATGATTTTTGAAATGTTTAAGGATGTTTGGGATAAAAGAACCCCTGTGGGAAACATTTTTTTGTATTTTCTATAACGTCATCAAAATGCATTTTTCTGATTGGACGGGGCCAAAAGTTTTTTAGGCATAGGCCAACATTTAAAAAATTCTATTGTTAATCTTACAGTGAATATAAATGTTTTTTTTTAATAAATCGAAATCGAAATCGAAATCAAAATTCATAATAATATCAGACAACCTAATTTGACATTTTAAAATGTAAAATGTGTTTACATCTGCGAATCCATGGAATTCTCAGACGTTAGGCCTACACCAATGTCATGATATATTAATTCCGTCCTCAATCATATTAGGTCTATTGTAAAAGTATCGATAATGGTCGTTTTATGTTTTTTTGATAATTCTCAGTGCAGTGTGAACGAGGAGGCTTTGAAAAGGAACTTTATGGTTCTACAAAATAAAGCATGTTTTTTTGCAACGCTCACTTTGGTGTAAGGAGGGGTCTCATTTTGTTATGGAGCTACAAAGATATGGACAATATTTCAATCTGTCGTAAAAGATTTCGATTTGGGCCTCAGGGATGACGCCAGCGGAGGGGGAGGGGCAGGGTCCCCGTCGAGGAGAGCTCCCTCCCGAGCTCCCCCCCCCCCGGCGTTTGGGGAGATAAACTACCAGTACCGGTACAATTCGTCGGAGAGAAATAAAATGTGTATGTATTTTCTACACATTAGAACGCCCCTTGCAATGCTGAATAAGTTCAGTGCGTACAACATCTCTTGTACTTTACCCTTGTGCGAAGTCTCTGGAAAGATCCTCCCATACTTCGATAGGACGTCCCGGTTTGGGTTGTTTTTAAGTCTCTGGTGGGTTTTCTGCTGGTGTGGAAAGAATATTTCTGTTCTGTGTCAAAACATTAATAACTTCATCACAAAATGGAATCCTGTTGTCAAGCCACGAGGTATTTTTAGAACTCCAGCAAACACGTGTTTACTTTCTTATAACGTTTTTGGCGAATGTTGGGGTTAGGTATGTCACAAAATAACGTTTACACAACGTTGTAGGAACGTGCAAACGTTGTGAAATTATGTTCATTACGTATTTATGGTTCTACAAAATATTTTTTCTGTCGTTTAAACATCGATTTATTATTGATGCAAACTTCAAATTTAAACCAAAACATATATTTTTGTTCCCCAATTTATATACAAGAAACGTGTAAATTTTGAATCGTGTTTTGATATAATGTAGTCAATTATAGCATTTGAAATATTTATAGAGAAATTTCCGACATTTGTTGAAAAATACCACCCTCAAAATTCGTTTAAATGTAAAATATTTTCAGGATAGATTCACCAGGGTATACCCTTCTTCAATCATGTGAAAAAAGGTGTAAAAGCCATAGTCACCAAAATGGACTTTTGGCACACTTTGATTTCGCACTGGCCCACTGTGCGACGGTCGGCCGACGAACCCAACTCCACCCCTCTGTGAGCGTTAGACAACGCGACACCATCCATCTGCCGATTGTCGGTGAGGAATCGTCATTGTGCTTTTCCATTTTTATCAGAGTGTTAAGTGTTTTATCCTTTAATTGTGTAGTCTGGTATAATAGTCTAAGTGTAATAAGAAGAAACTTGATAAAATTATGAAAACTGCAAGTAAAATGATAGGCAGAAATGTTAATGTTATCGACGAGATACATACTCGTGATGTCATTAGCCAAGTTAAGAAAATTATGGAAGATTCGCATCCATTAAACAACGATAATGTTGTAAATAACTCAGGTAGACTCTGTCCATTAAAATGCAAGACAACACGGTGCAGGAAATCTTTCTATAATTCAACTCATGTTTTCAACTCAACCCTTTAGAGATAGTATTTATATTGTTTTGTATTGTATTATATTTTTTCAAGTATATTATACTATCATCTCAGGAATTTTAGAAACATCCCCAGTTTCTGACCGAGGATGCGGCTCTCAAAATTGTACACGCTTTAATCACTTCACGTCTGGACTACTGCAATAGTTTACTTTATGGTCTGCCGATGAGACTCATTAATAAACTTCAACTGCAACTCAACTCTGCTGCTCGGGTAGTTACCTGCACTCCTCGATTCGATCATATAACTCCGGTTCTCACGCGACTTCACTGGTTACCCGTGAAACAGAGGATTGAATTCAAAATACTTATTTTTACATACAAAGCACTTCATGGGTTAACTCCTCCTTATATTTCTGACCTCATAAAACTACGTTCAAGCAAATGCAATAGACGACTTAGATCTACAATCGACTCAACTCTTCTGCATATTCCATCTTGTCGCTTGAAGACTTACGGAGCAAGATCATTTCAAATAGCAGCACCTAGGCCTACTCTTTGGAATAGTTTACCTACAGATGTGAGAAATGCGACATCCTTGGATGTATTCAAAACTAAATTAAAATCACACCTTTATACTATATGTTATTAGTTTTTTTCTTTCTCTTGTTTATAACATTAGTTAGAATAGATACCGTGCATCATTATGGCACCTGTGAATTATGTTCCGGCCAACCAAATTGTTTGACAATGGTCTTAAATTGTGAGAGAACGGTGCTATGATGTGCGGTTCTTCTGCTATAGTCCTTTCATTTCGGTTCCTTTTCTTAGTTGGTTAGCATAGAATCTTTTGTTGGATTTTCTTTTTTCCTTTTTTATTTTAACGCATTGAGACTTCGGTGTAATGCGCTAGAGTAAATCCCACTACATTACATTACATTAGGCTATATTTTAAGCGCAAATACTCCTTTGTGTTTTATATTATTTTATACCGTATTATTTATGTAGTGTCAAGGAAATCAAAATGTACACCTTGTTATGTGGTCGTGACAATAAAGTTTATCTTATCTTAAAAATGATCGTAGCGTCGTAGCGTTGTGTTCTCCATGGATAGCGTCAGCCGGCGACCGTCGTACGCAGCGACTGCCAAGTTTTAGTCCACTCAATCGTTGTTGGCAGTCTGAGCGGATATTCGTTCAAATTAATGTCGTTGGTTCGCAGTGTAATGAAATCGCCTTAACTTACTACCGTCGCTGAGTCATGAACATTTAAATATAATTTGACACTAAAGCAGTTTAGAAGCTTTGGCGCAAACCCAAGCATTATTTCTGTATATCTAGTAGGGGATGCTTGCGTTTAGGTCGGCATATCTATTTTGCACTAGAAGAACAGCAGAGTGGAGAAAAATTGCATCCATCCAAAAGACGAATAAAAGCAAAAAAAGGGCTACTACCCATTGTGTGCTTTGAATTGTTTTTAATGATGATGAACCTAATGGCGATGATAATATGTCTGATTATTTTTTTGCAGGTAATAGGACAACATCAATTCCACCTATGGATAAAAACACTTTGCAGTGCGTCAATAGCACGGTATTACGACTAAATGCTAAGGAAAAAATAACAGCTCGTCATAACAATACAAGATTAGAAAATACGCTACTTCAACCAGGTTAGTTAAATGCATTAGGTTATTTTAATGGTAATTGTGATGGCCAATTCTATGGCGGTTAACTGTGTCATAAATGCCACGCATACGATTGCGGCATAGGCGTAGATCCCGGGGGGGGGGATGGGGGGGATATATCCCCCCCCCCCCCAATATTTGACAAGGGGGGATGGTCCATTGAATCATCC